GTCGTTTTTCCATCTCCGACTCCAAACTCACTGCTTGAAGCTGAGGGCTGTAATAAACTGCTTGTGCTGTCCCTGTGCTGTGACAACTCACAACCAGAAAAAATTACAGTACACACCCAATTAAAACATATGAGCATAAGATTCTTCAAACGCATACATTTATGGTTCAACTTGGATAAATCATCTGATTAAGTTATTTCAAACTTTTTTTGTTTGCCATTATTTGGTCTTCGATTAAATTCATCAGTTTTAAATGCTGTGGTTTTAAGCACCATTTTAAAGTCAGCACATATGTGGCATTTTGATTTATTAAGCAATCTGAAGTATTGAATATGTGAGCCCTTGCCCAGTTACTTCTTTATTTTGTATGCATAGTAACTTATGGCAATGATGAATTAATTTCACTCAAGCACAGAATCTGTGATTATTTTAAATGGTAACCATATCTCGACTTGATCACAGAGCTGTGAGGAGTCAGCAGACTGTGAAATGTAATTTCTATTATTATTTTTTTTATTTTGATCTCGCCAACCAAAAGAATTCCAACCAGCCACCTGAAATGTGAACTGATAATAAATGGACGTCTGGGATCACAGATTTACCGGTCACTTTTTTTTTTTTTTTTTCTTTTCTTTTTTGTCATCTTAATGAAAACATTTTTATGCAACTCATGCATATAAAATGAGGAGATGGATCAGTGTTCTAGGTAGAGACTGTAGAGAACATCCTCACACTGAAAATGGATAGCCCAGAGACTCTGAAGGAAAACCAGCGTCAAACCCTGCTGTGTGTTAACAACGTAACGTGTGTGTGTGAGTGTGTGTCTCAAATTCCCCAGTGTTCCCCAGACAGTGTTGGAGCACAGCAGACAGCTGTGTATTCCCACTAGATGGATGGCCAGTGTCATAGTGTGTGTTTACTGCACATGATAGAGCGGGAGACAGGCCAGGTAATGAGGCTACATTAAGGGCTTTTAGAGCTCGCAAACAAAGATGGAGGGCTGCTTCTTTCCCCTTTAATGATAGGTGTGTGTTTGGTGTGTATGTGCGAAAGAGAGAGAAAGCGTGTGTGTGTGTGTGCGAGAGAGAGGGAGGCAATGAAAGGCTCAATTCTCCTTACACCTTTGTTGTGTCACTTCTCGGAAGAAAGGGGAGAAATTCTCCCAATCTCTGGGCCAAATGCGTCGTCAGGGCCCTTTCTCAGATTTCGCACCTGATGGAAGAGACAGATTTGCGTAGCGCAAGATTTGAGAGTAAATATTTGCTCAAGCTGAAGAGGAATAGCAAGCAAGGGTATGGTTGCACAAGGAATGAGACAAAAGCCGGAGTTGGTCTGAAGCTTTGCAAATAAAGTGTCTGCCTGTGTCTATTTTTGCTTAATCAGGAAAAGCCTTTCTTTCTACTGAGCCTCCACCTTAATCGAAACGTTGGAGCCATCAGCCATCGTTGACGACAGTAAATTTAGAGAGCGCAGAGTTATCTCAATCTCTCACTATCTTTCCACCACCCCACAACCTAAACACTTAGTATCACTATCATCTTCCTTCCCAAAGCTATACATCTACAGAATTACCAGCGTATTACCAGGGCAATAACAGCCTTCCTCTCTGTTTCCGATCATGATAATAAGTGGTCTAGGTTCTCCCTCATTGGAAGATTATGGCTTGAGGAAATAGCATCAAATAGCGGGTGTGTTGAAATGCAGGACACCGGCAATTTATGGGATGTCAAACACACGTGCGGGCAAGCCGGCAGCCCTCACTCATGCAGCATTAAAGCTGCCTGCACCGCCGCAGTTGATATTGTAGCTCGGGGCGGGGTGGCTCCTTCCGACCCAGTTGGTTTAGGACCGGCTGAGCCAGGGTCAGGGCTGGTACCCCTCAGGGAGAGGGTATGGGGCACGATGGTCGGCACACACACACACACACAAATACATACACACACACAAATGTAGATACACACGTGCATATAGTCACACCCTCAGGTGCCGAGTATTGTCACTATCTGTCTCTCTTGAGTATTGAGTGTGTGTGTGTGTGTGTGTGTGTGTCTCTATCTGTGACAGTTCCGTCACCCCCACAGTCAGATCCGCAGCTCGGTAGCCCGCTCATCATTGCAGCCTGGCTGTGTTTCTAATTGACATTCTAATTGGCAGATTTGAATGCCGCCTTTAGATGGCTAATTAATTTATCTCACCGCTGTCATTAAGGTTAAAGCACCATCTGATCTCTGTGAATATACTTTGCATATATCTGCATTATCATTATGTTGCAGTTAGACATATTGCACAGATTTTATTTTGGAGGAGGGAGGGAAGATTATGGCACTGAGATTAAGCTTTTTTTAAGTTTTTTTTTTTTGTTCTTTTGTTTAAACAACTATGATATCTTGACTTCTGTTTTTTTTTCTTTCCATCAATATTAATGTTTTATACATCAGAAATTACATGTAAGCACATTAAAAGCTAATTTCATTGGTTTGTTAATATCAAAGTAGCAATTTTCCTTGGACTTCCGTAGCAGTTTGGATTGCATTCAGATGTTATTAAAAACCCTTATTTCCTTGTCTCATATATCTTGAAGTTTTCTGAACATTCATCGCTGGTCCAAGAAAGAAAGCAGGCAGGAAAAAAAAAAAAAA